TGTTCTTTGATCCTTGGATTCCTCTGACATAGTTTCTGAAGCTCGATTCAGATTCTATTCTAAAGTAGAACTTAAAGCAGAATTCTGCTTTGAAAAATTATTTTGATAAAGTATCCCCCCGCTGTTAGTGGTAAACAGAGTAAGAGCAAAAATAGTTTAAATCACACAGAAAAGGAAAATTATTCTGAATTTCTCTATGTCAAGCATGACTCTCATTTTCTCTCTCACCTTTTTTATCTAACAACTCCTTTATGATTAGGGTTTAGAATTTCACTGTAGATTTAAGACAAACCTAACAAAAACAAGATAAAAAATAGCTTTTTTTATCTTTTATGTTAATTTTTTATTTGATTCTGCGTTTTCTTAGTGGGGGGGAAAGAAAAAAAAAGTCACAGATTTTCCAGCCAGTTCCACTTAAAAATTCATGAGCCTCAGAGGGAAGTAGGCTTAAGAGCACTAGTTCAGACTGAGTTTAAGCACAGTGCAAATATTGCCCCACACAAGAGTGAGCATACCTCTTGAAAAATGGAAGGCAGCAGCCCTGATGTTCTTTTATGCACGACTTGCATTAGCACACAGTGACCTCCTCTGAGTTACTCAGCCCTACAGCCACTGTTTGCACTGCTTAAGCATATATAAAGGATTTTATTTTTGCAGCTGGTGGAGCAGATGGATTCAAGGAAAAACCAGACACATTCGCAGCAGAGAAATCCTCTGAGGATTTCTAAATTAATTTAAAAAATTCTTTACCTGAGGAAGTCAGAACGCCTAATGGTTAGAGGACAGAAGTACTCAAGAGAAGTATCACAGATGGTTGATGAATTATTGGACTCTTCTCCAGGCCATGATGACCCTTTGACAGCAACAAGATATGGGGCTATGTGGACCTTTGGTCTGACCCAGAATAGCTGCAGTTATGTTCTGCTGACAAAGTGCTTTCCCTGTGTCCCTGAACCTAGAGGTCACAAGGCTCGGACAATACCACTAGATGAATTTTCTGCTGATGGACAGCTTCCCTAAACCAGGGGAATTCTTCTCTGGTAACTTTTAGCTGTTTAAACTTTCCTGCAGTTTGCGTAACATACACAACATGGTACAACAATTTCTTTAGCTTGGAAATTATGTGTAGCAGCTATCAGCCCCACCAATCCTGCCAAGAACATGATATATGGAACTTTCATAGAAAATACAACTCCTAACAGATATTTGTGACTGCTTTGGGTTGGAAGGATTAGATGAGCACCACTGGCACAGTTTCTCACTCTTCACACTTGTCAGGTACCTTTCATTACCAGAAGAACAAATAAATTTAGCTGGCAGAAGTCAAACCGAATGTCCTCCAATGATCTTCCCAATCTACATAATTTCTCTGGCTCCTTCCCCAGGAGAGGTGTGCTGCACTGGGACTTTTAATCATCACAGGGATTTTTCAGGGTTAACAATATCATAATTCGGAGGGAGAGAGTTGCTGAGTCTCTGTTATTTTGTTCTTGCAATTCTTGCTTCTGTCTTGGAGAGTTGCAGGGAAAAATCCCAAAATATCCTGAACTTCTTATAGATAATTTCATGTCAGTTGGAAATCCACAAGCAAAACTTGTGGGGCCCTGAAATTTCCAGCTCTGAGCAGTAGACACTTCCCTTTTTTCCCCAGGATCATGGTCCCAGCAGCTATAACTCACGAGGTTTAACCTAAGTGTTTTCAACTCAGCTGTTTCAACACACACTGAGACTCTGGTCCACAGTTTGGTCCTTATTTGGGAGCATTTATATGAACATCCACAAAAACAGCATTCAAACAAAAGACACACTATTACTTGGATTCAAACTCTTAAAGGAAAAGGTGGAGAGAACCCATCAATCATCAGTGCCTTTGCATTAACCACTAAAGCTCCACAGCATCCCTGTAAAAATTCTTGTTACCCTGCCCTTCCTAAGCGATTCAAAAGATAAAGCCAGCATTCAGTATCACAGCAAGAACCTAAGATATATCAGTGAAAAAACATATGTCTAGTCACCTAGTTTCAGCTGAGGTCTTTTTTATTGGAGTCCGGTCAGCAACTCATTGAAGAAAAGAGCAAACCACAAACCGGGTTCTGTTAAACTGAAAACCTGTTCCCAGGAAGACAGGGTCCATTTGCTGAGCATCTCTACCCTGATGTTACAGGATTAACTACAGAGCTGTTCAGACACAGCATACTCAGACATAAGCTGAATATCTTGGATACCAGTACAAGTCTAGCTGTGGGAAGGCAGAGCACAGCATGGTTTAACCACTGAGTATTTATCCTTCTTCTTTTAACTGCAGAAAAAATATTTTATTACTTACGTAATTTAGATGGAATAAATGTAGCTTACTTGTGTGTCCAAATTTAATCCTGATGTAAGTTTAGAAATGGAACTGCTCTAAATGAAATAAACTTGGGTCCCTTTCTGAATACGTAGATTCAGGAACACAGATAAAAGGTTACAGGCTAATATTTATGTCTTAACTAATTTCTAAAATGAGGACAAGCTCTGAAAGTACATCTGAAAATATCCCTTCTCTTGCTTTCACATAGTGAAGGAGGCTGGTGGAGAGTCCACTCCCTCACAACAGGTCGAGAAAATTATATTCCAGGAAAATACGTAGCAAAGGTTTACCATGGGTAAGTAAATGTACTTCATATAGCCTTTCAACACTACATTTCTACATATACTGTCCTGATTAGTTATTCAGTGTCATAGTCAAAATGAAGCCAATAAGTGACTAGACAGACAGAAATTTTATTTATTGACGGTCTAAAACATTTCTTATGAAATCTAAGAACATGAAATCCACATCTAGGTTTAGATTATATGAAAAGGAAAATCCTAGTTTTAAATGCTGGAAAGGGTCAAAAACCCCTCAAATGCCATATAAGATATTTAAAATACTTCTTTTGCATGGACTGATCTCTAATTTTAAGTCATTGATAAAGAGATCCTATTTTAAAAGAATTTTTAATATTTACAAAGAGTAAAATTCAAGCTAGAGTTGCTCATGAAAAACAGATCAAAAAGAACAAATAGAAAGACTAATAAGTTGCTCAAGAATGTAAACTCTCACACTTGTAGAGCTAAGGAAGGCTCAGAGGTTTCTTGTTGCCCTAGGCACCAGTCAGGAAAAAAAACATTAAAGCACACACTTAAAAATTTTCTGGCAAAAGTTTTAATACCTGTTTAATTTCAAGCATATGAACGGTGAACTTCACTGTGATTTATGCAAGTGCTTAAATTTTAATGTGCTTTTATATCCTTCTGAAATAGAGATGCTTTCCCAAAGACAGGTCACAGATACGGTAACGGAAGCTACTGTCGGAAGCTTCCCCAAGACCATTTTGCTGATAGCAGACTGGATCAAACACACAAGAACAACTTTAAAAAGAAGTGCCAGTAACTCCTACAGCAGCCAAGCAACCTCAGTTACATGGTTAGACACTAGCTGTGGCAAAATACAGCAGTGCACTGAGCTATGGTGAAAATCAGTAGGGCTAATTCCACTTTCTCTTATCCACAAAGTCAATTAACTTAAATGTCTGGACTGTTCCCTAACATAAACAGAAAAATTGTATTTAATTTTGGGCTTACTTAAAATACAATTAAAATACAATTTGGGGTTAATAAAAGTGTTATAAATGAAAAAGAGGGATTTAACTAATGCTATAGATATGCCGTCAATATTCCACCTGGATATCTCCCCAACAATTCAGATCAAGACAGCTCAAAAAGTTTTGTTTTCAATAATAAGTCCAAACCTTATTCACTCTTCTCTTAGTCTCACAAAACTTAATGGAACTCAAAGAGGGCAAGATTTTTCTCCATAAACTGGGGAAATATGCCTGGACACAGTTGAGAGAAGAACTACAGAAAGCCACAGTGTTATTTTTGCAGTGACTTTTCCTGGCTAATGCTGTACTTTCACAGCCTCATGCTGTTCTCTGTTTCACTGGTGCCCAAATTTCAGATCTTGTTTTTTCCTGCTTCACAGCTGGTTATTTGAAGGGCTGGGAAGAGAAAAAGCAGAGGAACTTCTACAGCTACCCAACACCAAGGTCGGCTCCTTCATGATTAGAGAGAGTGAAACTAGGAAAGGTGAGAAAATACGATTTTCCCCCCTTGATCTCAGGTGTTAATGAATTTACAACTCTCTAATTGAGTCCCTGTCCTGCTTAATATGTATCAGTCCGAAACCAGAAAGTGTATGTAATGGGAAAGCAAAGGCACCCAGTGCAGCATGCCAGTATTCGTCAGTGCCCTACGTTACGAGTGGTGCTGGAAACAGGGTTAGCGATGGCCGTGGAAAGTTCCACAGGCATCAGCACAAACAAGACACAGTTGTTTAAACACTAGTATTTACTTTGGTAGCATGCAAAGCTTATTAGGCAGCAGGACTTTTCAAATGGAGGAAAAGTCACAGCTTTGCCTTGGTCCACAAGAGATTGTCTGAAGAAGAGATAAAATACACACCAAGCAGCGGGGGTGGCTGATAAGTGCATTTCCTATAAAAACATGTGGTTCTTTTATTTACCTTTTAAAAATGACGTCTTTGTTATTTTCTTTCATAGCAATTCTGTTGCTACATGGGAATTGCACTGTACACACGTTACACTTTTATTCTCCTCAACGGGAATACATCTTCCATTGTGCAACGTGACATCTTCCCTTTTTCTAAAGCACCAGAACACATCCTAATATCATGATACTGCAGTTAAAAGGGAATAATAAACCATCTACTCTGACCTCTTGCATACCACAAGCCAATTAGTTTCATAATACCTATACTAAATTAAAAAAAAAATTAGGATCAACATTCAGTCCTTACCAACTGAACGCTGCACATTGGTTTTAAACAAAAAAACAGGAAAATCCAAGCTGTCATCTCCTGCCAGGACTGCATTATCAGTTACCACCTACTGCATTATTGGGATCTGACTAAATCAGCATACCAGCCCATGAGTCTGGTCCCCTTCTCCAGAGGAAGACAAACAACTTCTGTTAAGGCCTGTTTCCTTTACACCATTTCAAAAAATCCCATACCAGCAAAAACAAAGGAAAAACACACCAGAAATGTGAATTCAATCAAAATCACAGGCCTTGATACTGAGCCCTTTATTCCCTTTGTTATATTTAAGTATATACATAATATGTACTATAGAAGTAGAAATTAGGATGGCCAGTCAGTTGTTTTCAGATCTTTCTGGGACCTTTTTGGTCATGGCGTCACATCTTACAGATACTCCGATTGTGGTCACTGCTATCCAGGCACAATTATGGCCCCGCTTTAGTGTAATTAGTTCTCCTCTTTCTCCAGGGTTATATTCCTTGTCAGTGCGGCACAGGCAAGTGAAACATTACCGGATCTTCCGCCTTCCAAATAACTGGTACTACATCTCTCCACGGCAAACCTTTCAGTGCCTTGAAGACCTTGTGAACCACTACTCAGGTAAAAAGAACTGCAGAATAAATATATTTTCCACTGGCAACTGTAAAACTATCTATCAAAGGTCCAGAACAACAAGCAAGAGACTTGCAGCTACTGCCACAGAACCAGCAAGGGAAAAATTTGTGGTTTATATGTTTTACTTTATTTTTGATCCTAGATACAAATATTCTACCCTTAACAGTATGACCGAAATCAACCCAAGAACTCAACTAAATAAAGACAGATAGGCTCTGCCCATATTGGTACATGATACTGTACAGCCATGTCAGATCTGTCCCTAACACTATTTGGTCCAAACACTAGTGTGTAGCACTTCCCTAGATAACTTCCAAATACAGCTAGGAGGTTAGTGCAGGCGGGGGATGCCCAGCCCCTCTCAGAGCACAGCTGAAGTCAAAGTTTGGGTGCACGAAAATGTTAAGCTGTACAGATGCAAGTCATGTTTCTGAGTCCCAGGGCCAGAGTCCAACTCCTGGCTCACTTTGTTTACCAGCATGGACATATCTGTCATTGATTTATTTACCATATAGACAGACAGATAGCATCAGGACATGCAAGACCAGGTTCTGCAATCACATTTCTCTTAGGAACCACTACATCACGCAACCTCATCTGCAGCAGAAAATTCTCAGAAATGTTGTTAGTTTCTTCCCTATTACTTTAGAAGGGTATGGCTGGATTTTATGAGCAGTTCTCTCAAGAGGCTCAAGCTGCTAGGTCAAACCTAGATTCAGCTGTCACTTTTACTAATATCAGTCCAGTGGATAACACCTGTTTCAATGATAGCTTTCCAAATTTATGGCAATTTAACCCGTGCCAGAGAGACAACTTGACAAATGACACAATTAAGTGGCTGCAGTTACCATGCACAACAATTAGCATATTTTAAAATGAGGAAGGAAGATTGCAATAAGTTAATTGCATAAAAGTTATAAGAGAACAAGAGGTTCTGTGCATTAACTAGTAACAGGTATTTGTTAATTTTAGAAGCATAAAGCTACCGTATCTCTGTATTTTATAGGTAAATGAAAAAGTGTGTTAGCCAAGGAGTACTCTGATAAACTAGGCAGAAAAGCCATATTCACATTGAAAACATCCAAAAAACTTTCAAGTCCAATGATATAAAGAGAGGAGTGAGAATTTGAACAGGAGTGATTTTTTTGTTTTGTTTTTAACATTTAAGTTCGCTGACATCTTTCTCCATTTAGAAAGAAGCAAACAATCGAAGCCTAAAATTCGGGGCAGGGGGGAGCCCAAAACTTAGAACAATTAACATTTTTCATTGAGTTACAGGTGTGAGAGGAGACATAGTGAAATTTAGCCCTCCTCCTTTCACCATGAGATGATACAGAATCTGACCCTGAAGTAAGGCTCAGAGCTGTAAAACACTAGCGTTCAGCCACGATGTTCCCTGCTTGGGCAGCAGAACATTTGCACGGTTCCTAGTAGGTCAAGGAGAAGAGGATGGAGAGAAGAAACACAGCTGAAAGTAACCTGAATGCAGCATGAACATGTGAACCTTGATTCATTTCATAACCATTCACAGTAGAACAGGTGCACATACAATCCAATCTGAGTGGTTGTATCTTCCATCTATTTGCACTCTGTTTGCACAGCTGAGACAATAGGAGGCAAAAGCAGAACTCACTGAGGACTCAGGAAATCTGGGTTTGAGTCCCTGCTCTGTTACAAACTTCCTTCTAGATTTTGGGAAAGTCATTTTGTCTTTCCACGTCTCTGTTTCTCACTTGTACTGTGGGAAATATACTCCATGATCAATTAAAAGGCAACGGTATGAGGAAAGGAAAAAGTTAAGCCTGTGTTACAGTGTCCTTGCTCAGGGCAAACAATTTATTGACTCCTGCTACAATGTCCAAAAGTGTTTACTTGAGCATGCACCAGAGAAGGAAAACAGTGAAGATAACAGTGAGCAAAGATTAACTTTCTGTGTATTCATTTTCCCATTCAGAAGTTGCTGATGGTCTCTGCTGTGTCCTTACAACACCTTGTCTTACCCAGTGCACTAACAACAACAGCGTAACAAATCAAGTTCCTCCTGTGGTGATGCGGAATAAAAACTTCAACTGGAGAAGTATTCAGAGGTACCACTTACAACACAGGCTGCCAGAAACAACAAGGGGTTTTTCCCAGCCTTGTATATGCTTGCACTTACAACACAGAAGAAACAGCCATTTCCTTCTCCTGAGACTGATTTTGAAGCTTAGTCAATCTTCAGAGCTGCTGACAGCAGGCTAACAGATGAAAACTGGATGTCCAGCTCGCTAATTGATAATCTTGGGCTAACTTTGAAAGAAAATACAGTCAGCATAAATGATTTTTCCTATCCAGCTAAGAGTGTGGCCACATATGCAGTCCCTCTGGGACTCATGAGACCTCTCCACCAAGGAGACAGGAGTAAGAGCCAGGCCCTAAAGCCTAGTCAGATCCACCACCAACAGCACACGAACATGCAACGGCTCGCAGATGAGCCCTGATGGTCAGAAAAGGCTCCCCCTTGTTCACATGGTGGCCATCCATGAAGCAGTACGCGTACAATGAACGCACACAGCATAAACCTCTCCTGCTGTGCCTCTCTCAATGCACAGCCCAACTCAAGGTTCCTGAGATTTCTAATATCATGACTGCAACTAGAGAAAGTAGGTCAGGTTTCAGAAGCTGGTGAAGCAACCACCTTCAGAAACAAAAGCACCTCTTATTTTTGCAGTATAAATTTCCCTCCACTACCCTTCCTTCACAAAGCAGATTCATTTGCTTACAAATGGAAGAAAATTTTGTGTGGTATAGAGGCCATTTTTCCTACAGATTAAGAAGAAAGAGAGAAAGTATATAGACGTTATTTCCTTTTCAGATGGCAAAAAATATTTAGATAGTACTGTTGTACTGATCGTTTCGGAAAAATCACAAAGTGCTAGAAATGTCTGGTGATCTATGAGCCAGGAAATTTTTTACACACCAAAATTAACATTGTTTGCTTTAATAACTGTTAATATTATACTAATAAGCTCAGTTCAAGTAGTTGAAATGGTAACAACATTTTTTTCTGTTAAAGGCTGGAGGTGACTGAAGATACTGAAAGCACCCTGGCAGCAATGGATGATTCTTGTCTCAGCTATGGCCTGAGGGAAAGTATTGCTTCCTACCTGTCCTTAACAGGGGATGACAACGCTTCTTTTGCAAGCGCCAGAAAGAAAAAAGCCCAATCTCTTATATACACAGGGAGCAAACGTAAGAGTACCTTTCACTTGCCAGCTACATACTATGAAGACTAAAAATAAGTCAACAAGGGGAAAAAAGCAACAACTGAGGGATTAGAAAAGAAATCCAGAACATCCTGTGGTCCTGCAGTCCTTCAACAGCTGAGATACACAAGCACAACAGCTGACGACCAAACACTGGCAGTGCTTCTGCATTTCCTCTTCTGAATGTTAACCTGAGGCCTTCTTAAAGATGCTATCTCAGCCACAGCATATGCAGGGATCATCCCCAGTGCACCTGAAATTAGAACCTGCTCACAAGCAGGACAAACTCAGATGGACTCCAGGTCAAGAGCCAAGTGAGGAAGATGACTCTTCAGCAAGGGAGGTGCCCACCCTTGTACAAAGGTGATTGCACAGAGAAGGACTCGCTACAGCTCTAGAACTTTAATTAAGCCTTACTCTGGTATTGTCCACAAGTTTGAAAATCATCTTTACAGAACCTACCTACACTGAAAAAGGAAGCCTTTTACTTCTTCATATAGAATCGTTCACCCTCATTGAGTTAGAAACTCATCAATAACCCCAAGAAAGCATCTGGCATCCAAGAAACACCTGATCATATTGACTCCATACTTCTGTCACTTTTACCTTTTAGTAGAAAAAACAAAAATTATTGACTTTCCAAGTGGCATTTAATTCAACTCCCGGTAGTGGTCGGCAGTGTCACAAAGATGTCACAAAATTAAGAACAGGCTTAACTCAAGGAGAAGTTCCTGCTTAGCCCTGAGATGGGAGTATAGGTGTATCCAAAAGCATAACTCAGCTGCTCATAATCTAGCAGATACACATCAGAGAATAAAGTGGGTTTTTAAGTGAAAAGTAAAATGTGGTAATATCATGCCTAACTGCAAAGGTGGGCTTGCAAAGGTGTGACCTTCTATGTGTAGAGGATCAGACTTTAACCTCGTCTCCTGAGGGCACCCTCATATTTATGTATAATATTTATATTAATAGCAGCTTTTTAAAAAATAAATAAACTAAGAGAGCAAATCAGCTACAGTGGATGTTAAAGAGTTTTCTGAATTTCTTGTCTGAGAAGAGTAATGATGTCAAATAGCAGTGACACATTTCATCAAATTGATTAAAGATTTGGAACTGGGTTATTTGAAATTTCACAGATCAGAGAATTTTCCCATATATACGTATCCTTTGCTAAGTTACAAATGAGCATGATCCTTTGAGCCTGACTGGTGACTGCTTTCTAAACCAAGTAGTCACATCTAGGGGTGTAAAATGCTGCAATGTATGTTCTTGAGCTGAGGTCTTTTCAATCTAATGTTCTGTCATACCTTTTAGCACAGATTTGAGTAATGAAGATTTGAAGAGATAGCAAATTGGGTTTATATATGTATATTTTTCCCCTGTAAATATCTCTTAGCACAAATGTGTGTGCTCTTTAGATCTTGCAAAAGATCATTTGCACTAGCAAGAGAGACTCAGAGATCAAAACAGTTGACAATCTATTTAAACATATTTCAGAACTTAAAGGGTGAATGTAATTTGGCTGATAAACGTTGAACACCACAAAGTAAAATGAACTCAGGAACTCTAGATGTTTGTATAATCTCATTATCATTACTGATCATTAATATGTTGTGGTGCCTGCATCTTATCCAGTGAAATGTATATGGGGAGCATTACAGATTTCTAAGTCATGACTTGTATTTATGCATTAAAATAATATCCAGTAGTTATTTTTTATTGCTTTTAGAAAATGGAAAACCTGGCATGCACCTAGTACAAACACTCAGTCTTGCAATAACACTGTCAAAAGGTATCGTTGATCATAGAATCATAGAATGGTTTGAGTTGGAAGGTATCTTACAGATCATCTAGTTCCAAACCCTCCACCATGGGCAGGGACACCTTCCATGACGGAACATAAAAAAGAATCCAAGAGCCCACGTAACTTGGCAGCTTGGAACATGCTCTATAGGAAGGGGATAAGACATGTTGTGATGGCGGCAGGTTCACACAATCACAGACCAGTTCAGGTTGGAAGGGACCTCTGGACGTCACCTGGTGCAACAGCCCTGCTCAAGCAGGGTGACCTAGAGCTGGTTGCCCAGAACCATGTCCAGACAGCTTTTGAATATCTCTGCGGATGGAGACTCCACAACTTCCCTGGGCAAACTGTGCCAGTGCTCGGTCACCCTCACGGTAACAGCATGAGAAGGTGACAAAAACTTGTGAATGGTACCATAAGGGATGGCTGGATTTCACAGATGGTCATGGGGCAATTCTGTGAGGTCTGGCCGTTTCTCACAAATAACTGAAAGACTATATTAGGTACCCTTTGGGAAGCACGATCTTGCAAGGGCCAACAGCACCGAGGTGATTCTATACAAATCTGAGATTATCTAAGAAACAGTATCAGAAATACCAAATTTGGGCAGGGATGTAGCGAAACTGGAACCAATGGAGAAAAAGTAATCAGAGATGGCTGGAAAGATGATGGGAAAAGAGGGAAGAAAGGGGATCTAAAAGGTCATCATAGGATCACAGATATATAGGGTCTATATCAGACAGCTCTGCACATGATTGCAGTAGTTTTCAGTAAGGCAATAAATCTGCTCTATCCACTATTGGCTGACCTGCTTCCATAGCAAGGAGGGACCTGGTGTCTTCCCTTGCCTTGAGTGGAGGAAACCTGGGAGCTCTCCTCCATCCACCCACAGGGAACGCCTGGAGGGGACAGCTAAGACATCTGCCCTCCACAGCCTCCACAAGAGATGGAGGCAATCCATACCATCGATCCACTCTTCTACATCAAAATTGCACTGGTAAATAAATCAATTAATCAAAAGATGAAGTCAAACACCATGTTTGCTCTTAAATGATTTTAAACAAGACCACAATCAGAGACTACTTTTTTCCAATCATACTGCTGAAAGATTAAATACGTTATAAAAAGTCCCCATGACAGCTTTGCATTGATTTTGTACAATCTTTTTTCAGAACTGTTCCAAACAAAATCTATTACAGGGCAGACATAGGAATCTCAAAAGCATTTTGCTATTTCAGCTGCACGTCTTCTTGTAGAGAAAGTTTCATGTATCACACCTCTCTGTATGCTAAGAAACAGTATAATTTCTTTTTAATGCATGACAAAGACCAAAACAAGGAGAGCAAAACTAAGCTTTTGCAGAAAAGCTGTTTTGCTTCATGGGATTTTCCCTCAGGAAAGCTATATTCTCAGTTCCATGACTCTTAGTCTGTGTGAACCTCCTTTTTTTTTTTTTTTTTTAACAGTAAAATTAAAAGTATGTAATGATTCTAGTGTCTTGGAACAAAACCAAGACTCATCCCTTTATAGGAGGTCTAGGTGAGACACCTGAGCAAATTAACAGTTGCATTCTGCATCACTTCATTACAAAAAAAAAAAGAAAAGAAAATATAAAGTATATTTTTAAGCCACTGCTCTTAGTGCTTCCGTGTGTTTCACAAGAAAATCAAAGCCGTTGTGACACTGTAAGGATAAATACTTAACATTACTTTGAAATAAGTAGAAATCCTGCTTTTTCCAAGACAATGGTCTGCACAGTCCCCTGGAAGAAAATTGTTGTTACAAACACTAGATTAATTGGAAGAATTGATGCATCTGTCTGCTCATTGCACTTGCTACTGTTTTCTATTTTTTGATGTCCTGCTGTAGGAGAAAGGAGGAGTTTAAACTTTATTTTATAACAGAAAAGACGTAATGTGGAAGTACATTCCAGAAATAACAATAAGCAAAAAGGTCCTTGCGTTTCTCTCTCATCAGTTGCTCAAGTGGTAAATCGCACTGTATCCTGTTACAGCTTTCACAGAGCCCCATCCTGAGCCATGTCAGTAAAGGGTTTGTGAATTCAGAGAAACAGTAGAATGAAACTGTACTCTGAGAGAAAAGGACTCTGGTTCTACTAGCAGATTAGCTGCTATGCCAAGAGCTAAGTAAAAATCTAGGAACTGTAAGAGGAATTACCCGACAATGACACAAGAAAACAACTACTAAAGAGCGATTTTCAACAATTTCCCTTGACTTTCCCACTAGAGTGATGCAATTAAAATAATCTTACTCAGACACGGGGATGCAAAAGACACACTGAAGAAAATCAAGTAGTAAACAGAGTTGTCATTATTTTCAAGGCAAGATTTTATTTATTTGGGCCCTAGCTTTCCTGGACCTAGAATTCTGCTCCTCTGCTCACATTTCCAAGTGACCATTGCTAGCAAAGAGATCATTTTGTCCAAGTACTGGTTCTACCAAATATATAAACCTCCTCTTAAGATTAAGTCTCAATTTCAAGGCACACTACTCTCATCTGAGGCTGTAAAGGTTGATGGCAGTATCAACACTGACAAAGCTGATCTCAAAGTTCTGAGACTCGACATGAGAAGGGCTGTAAAAATAGAGATCGCTTGGGGTTATTGTGAAAATGGTCCAAGCTGGCAGCAAACAAGCCCATGGGTAAACGGATTTTTACCCTCTTTCTGAAACTTGCATTTGCTTTTAAATGAAATCTGTCATGAGATCAGATAAAAAGATTGGATACTTTAAACATGCGGATGTTTGGCTCATCAGTTTTAGATTCTACAAACTGCTGATCAACAACCGTATTTATGGAATGGAAACTAACTTCTAAGTTGTACCTATAAGTTATGAAAGAAGGCTATTTATATAATACACAAAAAACCACAGTGACGAAAACCAGATTCTTACTATGACTAAATCAATCACCAAAGTGCATCTCTTGTACATCCCTGTGAAGCACCCAGCTCTTGGAGACAGCAGTCACAGGTGAGATGAAAAATGATTATAGCAATAACAGCCTTATTAGTGCTGCCAAGGCACAGATGAAATAAACCCAACACCCACATGCTGCAGCATCCTCACATCTGTAATAACATCCTTTCACAATGAAGGTGAAGCAGAAGGAATGGGACTTACCATCAGCAACGTTCTCCTGAAGAGATCCATATCCGCAGCCTCTGTGAGTAGGTGAATGCTGGTAACATCTGCCCCACCACGGTCAGCTCCTAAAGAAACCTGGCTTGGATCTCCTCCAAAGCTAGCGATGTTCTGCTGCACCCACTTCAAAGCTGCCAATTGATCCAAAAGGCCAGCGTTTCCACTCACCTCAGGAGAGCCTATTGTAGAAAATAAGTAAATAGGTCTGAAAAGAAATAAAACTATAAACATTTGAAGTTTTGATTAAATGTTAAGTTTTTAGCAGCTCTTGCAGCTGAACCTTGGCAAAACTGATACTGGAGCTTAAAAGCCTGAAGTGGTCTCTTCCAAGGTCATCACTATATAAATAGACCCTATTTCAGGTTTTTAGCACTCCAAGAATTTAAAAGAGCTAGTATTCATTGCTGTAGTTACCATGTACACTTATTCATTAAGCCGCTGAAATAATCAGGTATTTTGTAAGACAAAGTAGAGAACTTGGCTGTCTCTATCTGAAAAAAAAATACTCTGCACCTGTACTTTGGGTGGATGAAACTAAGAATAATTAAACCTTATTCTGTTTAATTTTCTGTACTTTCAAAAACATTCGATCATCTCTTTCTCTAGATAACATTCTTCAGGAGCTCTATATTCAAGCTCCATAACATAGTGTTTTTCATTATAAGGCCACAAATTAACAAAAATACAAAAAAAGACAGTTCATAAAAAGCTAATATAATTAGCAGTTCTTCCAACTGCATCCTTGGAGGTGCCTAATTATCCTGATTATAGAAAATAACACTCCCATTTCTAAGCTTCACTTGAACACCTCATGGCAGGAGACATGAATCCAGGCTCAAGTATCCATAAATTGAGGCCACAAGATTCTTTTTCTAAATAAGTAACATGATCTTAAAAAGAGTCAAAAGCAAACAAAACAAAAATCGAAGTGTTTGCCAAATTCAACCAACTGTTTCCCTGGAGTACACCTAATTGCATCTTTTTTTTCCTAGATCCCCTTTACACTTACCTGACCAATTATTTATAAGCCACATCATCTTGCATTTCTTTACACACATACAGATATTATTTTAGAATTTATAATATCTCAATATATATCCTTTGAGATTGACTTATGTCTAACTGATAGAGATCTGAACTACATGTATTGATATTTTTGTTTCCTTGAAAACAAAAGAAAAACGATTAATCACATACTTCCACGCTTAGCTATCACCACTGAAAAAACGACTTTTCAACACCAACTGATGGTAACCTGATACTTTATTTATATAGGAAAGTAATGCTGAAAGCATCTAATTATGCAAACCCCTAGGCAAGCTTAATTTTATATCAACAAAAGCAAAAATAAGTAATTCCTACACAGTCCATAAGAAAGGAACAGAAAATGATTATTTACTATCTGCTTCTTTTCAATTCACAATGAGCCATTCATTTTTAACCATTACAAATTCTCCACATTCAAAACTTGAAAAAAACAAAACAAAAAAAAACCCAAAACAACAAGACAAGACAGAAAAGCCAGGAATAGAAACACAGCTGAAACTATTTGTTTCTTTCATTGCCAAGACCAAATAGTACAATTTTAAAGTAAGGGTATGCTCAGAAACTAGAGATTAGCAGGAATAAATAGAGGAAAAAAAAAGCCACCACTTTGTGGACAGGCAGCCCTATCTCAGGCAAAGAGCAATTGAAAGCATCCATCCTGGTAGATACCCACATGCCTACCATAATGAATTACTGAAAAATTATAGAGATTGATTTAAGCAGAAGAGCAGAATATAGAGGACATCAGATTATTGATAGCCTTGCAGATCTTACAGATACTCATATCACAGTAGCCATCACTATAAGTGCCCTTTCAGTAGGACAATCAAGAACTAAATAACCTCAGAAACTACAACCTTCTACCTATAGCTACCATTTCAGATGATCAGGCCAAGCCACACCAGCAAAGCAATGGAGGGAAAAAACTTCTCCTGCTTTAGTTATTAGGTGTTTTTAAAGTTTGTTCTGCACACCATGACCAGTTTCTAGGGTTCTCAATTCACCAATAAACCCATCCTACGCTGTTAAATAGAAACTTCATTTCAAGGGTTTGCTGCCTCATGAGACCTCCCCAGAGGAAGTGAAATCCATGTAAATGTTTTAGCCACACAATGTGCCTGCTACTGGTATACTAAACAAAAAGACAGAGGAGGGAAATGAAATCTGTTCCTTCTACCCTGGCAAAAACCACAGCCAGGTTGTGACATGTACCCTACTGGGGAACAGATGCATTCACAGACATTCATGGTAGTTAGACCAAAAGAAATGTGTCTGTCAGGAATCTTTCCCACTGTTTGAGTGATAGGTCTGGATATAAATCTCATAAGTGGACTTTTTGCAGGAAGACATCACATTCCTGGGGACCACAGGAGAATGAAAAGAAACTGGTGTTCAGAAGGAAGCAAACAATGACAAACATATGCATTTCCGTTATTACTAAACGGGAGAAAAACAATACTGCTAAATTTAAGCACAAAAATCATTCTGATTTATATGACTTCAAGGACACTTCAAAGAATCAGGCCTAAAACATGACTGTCTTCTCCATACTCTTTCCATCCATGTCACTGGCAATTCACCTTAACTTTTCTGGATGCAAAGTGATAGGCGAAGGCACTAGTAAGAATGTGCATCACTTTTTGCAACATTAATGGGTGATAGCAAATTAAATTAAACATACTTTTTACTTAGAAGAATAAGAGCTCTTTGCTTGCAAAGAGCCCTGTCAATGAGAGACCAAAACAACTGCAGAACTAAAAAAAAAAAAAATAAAAATCATAGAATCATTTAGGTTGGAAAAGACCCTTAATATCATCAAGTGCAATCATTAACCTAACTCTGCCAAATCTACCACTAAACCATGTCCCTAAGCACCACAGCTGTAAGTCTTTTAAATACCTCCAGGGATGGTGACTCAACCACTTCCCTGGGCAGCCTGTTCCAATGCTTGACAATCCTTTTAGTGAAGAACTTTTTCCTAATATCCAATCTAAATCCCCCCTGGTGCAACTTGAGGCCATTTCCTCTTGTCCTATCCCTTGTTACTTGGGAGAAAAGACTGACACCCACCTCGCTACAACCTCCTTGCAGGTAGTTGTAGAGAGTGATAAAGTCTCCCCTCAGCCTCTTTGTCTACAGTCTAAACAGCCTCAGTTCCCTCAGCCACTCCTCAGGAGATTTGTGCTCCAGACCCTTCACCAGCTTCGTTGGACATGTTCCAGCACCTCGATATCTTTCTTTTACTGAGGGACCCAAAACTGAACACAGCACTTGAGGTGCAGCCCCACCAGTGTCGAGTACAGGGGGACAATCACTTCCCTAGTCCTGCTGGCCACACTATTTCTGATGGGAGCAAGGATGATATTGGTCATCTTGGCCACCTGGGCACGCTGCTGGCTCATATTCCGCTGGCTATCAACCAATAGCCCCAGGTCCTTTTCTGCCAGGCAGCTTTCCAGACACTCTTCTCAAGTCTGTTGCATGAGGTTATTGTGACCTAAGGGCAGGACCTGACATTTAGCCTTGTTGAACCTCATACAATTGGCCTTGGCCCATCAATCCAGCCTGTCCAGATCCCTCTGTAGATCCCACCTACCCTCAAGCAGATCAACATTCCCACCCAATTTGTTGTCATCTGCAAACTTACTGTGGATGCACTCAATGACTACTCTTCATGTTTGAAGGAGTCAGAGGTATTCCACTAACCTGTTGTGGACCAAAGAATGGATCTTGCAGTGGGACCATTGCTCATCAGAATGGGTATGACTGAAAATCCGTGCTGACAGGGAGCCTGGTACAAACATACCACACCTCATCATCTCTACATGGATAAAAGGGGACATAAGGGAGACAGGAGTGTGGCACTGAAGGAATTTTCAGGGCTTCCCATGAACATGGCGCTTAGATTGCTCCAATGACTCTGGCAAAGAGCTTTTCCTACTTGTTCCAGTTCCCTCTGGACCAACGGGATTTTCCAAGATGCACACCAAGGATTTCCCACAGGTGAAGAGGCCAGGAAAGACTGCACTTTTCCCTGGCCACAGCTCCACGGTACAGAGAAGGAGAGAGTCCCCACTTATAATGAACCATCTCTAT